TATGGTGAACAAATTGTAAAATACCTTTGTTTCATAGACGATATTCTTATCCTATGGAATGGGGACGAACAATCATTTGTGTCCATGATGAATTTGTTAAACACGATGAACTCTCCAGTGAAATTTACCATCCAATTTAGCAAATCCCAAATTGATTTTATGGATCTTTGGATCTTCATCAAGGCTAATGACTTGGGATATACATTGTACTCCAAAACGATTGACTAGAATACAATTTTGCACGCCTCTAGCTTCCATTCGAAGAAATTAAAAGAATCTTTACCCATCTCTCAATTTTTGAGGGTGCTACGGAATAATTCTGACCCTGCTTTGGCCACAAACCAATTGGATCAAGTGTATCAAAAATGTCTCAAGAGGGGATATTCAAAATTAATTTTGAATCGAGCAATGGAACAGGCACAGAAATCCATTACAGAACAACCAATGGTTTCCAGTATAGGTAATCAATTGATCTTCCCTCAAGCTTTGCACACTAAATCGTCACAAATAGCTTCTGTAGCGGAGATGCAATATTCCCCAGGTTATCTCCGCTTATAATCCAAGTGAGGCTCAGGAACAAGTAAATAATAAATCCATAGGCAAAGTTTCCAGCAGGTAAAACAGCAGCAATATCCCCACAGCAATCCCAATAACTGGACGACACACAGTTTCAGGAGCAGAACTGACAAGCCTTTAATCACAGTCTCCTTATAAAGCATGCTCCCATCCAAGGGAGGGATTTACAGTAATTATGACAGTAGCCAATCCTGTCCTGGTAACCTCCCACACCTCTTCTCCCCTCAGCCAGCATCATAATCCCCTTATCCAGCACACCAATTCCCCCCGTTTCTGGATGTACCCCTAAACGTAGGGGTACCACTTTAAATCCTACATCCCCGGATACCCCTGATCTGGGTGAACAACATATCCAAAAATCACCCAGATCAGACCAGGGGTTCGGGAAAAGTATGGAGGGAATAAAATGACCGACCGCACGAACCGAGATAGCCGAATCCGGTTCCATGTGAATGGGCCCTGCGGTCGGTCCTGGCATAAGGGAATAAAATACACGAAAACCTCTAGCTATAGAGAATAGGGAGGGTTCGCCTGAATCCCCTCGTTCGGTATTTTCTATCTACCGAACGAGGGGCCGTTCGGTAGTTTGGAACCGAACGGACCAGGGCTGTGGAGGTCTCAGCGGTGTTTGCCTACTCGAGTGTCCGATTTTAGTTCCAGACACTCGACGGCAAAACACCGCTGTTCGAGAACAAAGGACGGCTACTTCCTAGTCAATTACCCGTTCGCAACAATGTTGCAACGGGTAATTGAGGACACACTTTACACAGGGGAGGTCTGGTTGTTCGGTAGTTTCATTCGAATAAACTAAGGGAATGAAACTACCGAACAATCAAAGAATACAAGGCTTTAAAACACATAGAAAACTAGCAGATCACACGAATGCAATTATTTCAAAGACATTTGCAGGACAGCCCAGTGCCATCCGCTACACTGCTCCCCCTTGCCCACAAGCCGGCATACACAGTCTGATCCAACACAGATCGGCTTGGGGATGTCCGGGGACTCACGGATCATTTTTCCAGGTCAGTTTGTCTCGACAACCCATCGGCATTCCCATTCTGTTTACCCGGGCGGTACTGAATATTAAAGTCAAAAGGCTGCAGCGCCAAACTCCAGCGCAGCAGCCTGGCATTGTCCCCAGCCACCCGGTTTAGCCATACCAGCGGGTTGTGATCCGTGAGTAATGAAAAGGGCTGTCCATATAGATACGGCTGCAGTTTCTTTAAGGCCCACACCACAGCCAGGCATTCCTTCTCGATGGCGGCGTAGCTTACTTCTCGAGGTAACAGTTTCCGGCTGATGTAAGCCACGGGATGTTCTCCGCCATCGGCCCCGACTTGGCTCAATACTGCTCCCAATCCAAACATAGAAGCGTCTGTGTGAACAAGAAAACGTTTAGTTGGATTGGGAGCTGCCAAGACAGGAGCATTTATCAGTGCATCTTTCAGATGTTGGAAGGCCTGCTCACACTCCGGGGTCCAGGTCACCTGGCGGGGCAAATTCTTCCGAGTAAGGTCAGTGAGAGGTTTGGCGAGGGCGCTATAGTTAGGGACAAACTTTCTGTAATACCCAGCGGTCCCTAGAAAGGCTAACACCTGGGTTTTAGTCCTAGGGGTGGGCCACTGGGCCACGGCTTCTACTTTGGCTGGTTCGGGCTTCTGTTTGCCGCACCCCACTCTATGTCCGAGGTACTGCACCTCGGCCATCCCTATGCTGCACTTGGCCGGTTTCAATGTCAAACCAGCTTCCTTAATCCTGTCTAGAACCGCTCCTATATGGGCCAAGTGCTCCTGCCACGTATTGCTAAAAATGGCAATATCGTCCAGGTAGGCACAGGTGTAGTCTTGGAACCCATCCAGGAGTCGGTCTACCATCCGCTGGAAAGTAGCTGGGGCGTTTTTCATCCCAAATGGCATGACCTTAAACTGGTACAAGCCAAATGGGGTGACAAAGGCCGACTTCGGGATGGCCTCTGGGGCCAGGGGGATTTGCCAATACCCCTTACATAAGTCAATGGTAGTGAGGTATTGACCCCTGGCCATTCTGTCCAGTAGCTCATCTATCCGTGGCATAGGGTATGCATCGGACACAGTTTTCTCGTTTAATCTCCGGTAGTCTACGCAGAAGCGGGTCGTACCGTCCCGCTTCGGTACGAGCACTACCGGAGAAGCCCAGGGACTATCTGAGGGCTCAATCACCCCCAGTTGGAGCATCTCATCGATCTCCTTGCGCATGTTTTCCCTTACCGCTTCTGGGATGCGGTAGGGGGTCTGGCGCATCGGTAGTTGCCCTGGGGTCTCTACCCGGTGAGTGGCCAGAGGGGTGTACCCAGGTACATTAGAGAACGTGTCTCGTTTCTCCTCCAACAGCTGCTGTACCTCGATGCGCTCCTGTGGGCTCAGCCGGTCTCCCAGTGTGACTTCCCCTAAATCCCCAGACAACTGCCCATCTTCCAGCAGATCTGGGAGGGGTAAGCTGTCCAACTCATCAGAATTGGGCGCACATATGGCGGTTACCTCCTCGGAGCGCTCTTGGTAGGGCTTCATCATGTTCACATGGAGCATGCGTCGCCCTCCCGTCCCTGTACAGGGGCCAATTATATAGGTGGTGTCACATCTCTGTTCCACCACCCTATAAGGTCCCTGCCAGGCGGCCTGTAGCTTGTCATGTCGGACAGGCTTTAAAATTAGCACTTTCTGCCCGACCTGAAAGCTACGGTCCCTGGCTCCCCGGTCATACCATGTGCGCTGGCGGGTCTGTGCCGCCTGAAGGTTTTCCCTTACCGTCCTGGTTAAGGCTTCCAGGCGGTCTCGGAGAGCCAACACATATGGTATGATGGGGGTGCCATCTGCGCTCCGATCTCCCTCCCAATGCTCTCTTATAAGATCTAAGGGGCCTCTGACCCTCCTCCCAAACAGCAGTTCAAACGGGGAAAACCCCGTGGATTCCTGCGGCACCTCCCGGTAAGCGAATAGGAGATGCGGCAGGAACCGCTCCCAGTCCTTGTGGGTCTCTGCGAAGGTTCGGAGCATTTGTTTCAATGTGCCATTGAACCGTTCGCAGAGCCCATTAGTCTGGGGGTGGTAAGGGGCACTGATAATAGGCTTAATGCCACAGATCCTCCAGAGGTGTTGGGTGAATTCTGCGGTAAATTGGGTACCCTGATCCGAGATAATCTCCCTGGGTAATCCCAACCGGGAGAATATCTGCATGAGGGCATCCGCGACCGTTTCAGCATGAATGTTGGTCAGAGCCACTGCCTCTGGATATCTGGTAGCATAGTCTACTACCGTTAAAATGTACCTTTTGCCTGACGGGCTAGCTTTCTTGAGGGGACCTATCAAGTCTACCGCTATTCGGCTAAAAGGTTCCTCAATTATTGGTAAGGGGTGTAGTTTCGCCTTCCTCCGGTCTCCCCTTTTCCCTACCCTCTGGCAGGTATCGCAGGTGGTGCAATACCTGCGCACTTCCTGGCTGATCCCTGGCCAGAAGAAACTTTGGGTCAGTCGGTACCTAGTGCGGCTGACCCCTAGATGTCCGGATAGCGGGATATCGTGCGCTATCCGGAGTAGCTCTGCTCGGTACCGCTGCGGCACCACTAGCTGCCTCATCACTATTGGGTCTGACCCCTCAATCTGCTTGTCTGTCTCCCTGTACAAAAGCTGCTTGTCCCAGACAAATCTCTCCCCCTCTCCCCCAGGAGGGTCTGCTGTCACCTTGTCCCTGTATACCTGCAAGGTGGGGTCAGTCACTACCTCTGCTGCAAATTCGTTAGGAGGGGCCCAGGGGACACAGTCAAGGGAAGGGGAAGGGTCTCTTACCTGAACCTCCGGAAGTGTGTTGTAGTCCTGGGTGCGGGCCTGTTGACGGGTGACCACAGGGTGAGCTTCTCCTGTGGTGGACGTCTGGGGCTCAAAAGCAGACGTGAGCCTCCCCAGATCGTTCCCCAATAAAACCTCCGCCGGTAACTGCGGCATCAACCCCACCTCCACATGTCCTGCCCCCGCTCCCCAATGTAAATGTACCCTTGCGGTAGGTAGCCGGTACACTGCTCCCCCGGCTACCCTGACGGCCACAGTTTTACTCAGTCTCGCTTGATCCGACACCAGGTGACTTTTTACTAAGGTGATAGTAGCCCCCGAATCACGTAGTCCCTGTACTGCTTTACCTTCCAGGTATACGGTCTGCCTGTG